CCCAAAAGTTGTTCTCATCCAGGCACCAGTGGACTGCAGTTTCGACCTTGCATCGGTCTTATCAACACCCACAACGGGAGTCGAACCGTGACAGTGCTCTACTCATTATCATTGTGGGAAAATTCTTCTACCAGTCCTTTATCACCTCAAACGAAATTGGGTGAATTCAACTCATACTACTGATTTACTGATAGCCTCGAAATAATATTTAAATGCGAAAAATAGGTGATTCTGGACAAAGCTTCAAATGTACACTATTCTAAATTCTATACCAACTCATAAATGAAAAGCAAGATTGCAATTGAGATGGCATTGTTGGGGAATCTGTCATGAAGAAGAGAAGATTCGAATGTCAATCCCACCAGAAGAGGACGGTTGATTCGCGTTGTACCGCAGCCGTCTGGCTTTAATGCCACATTCAGGTCGGCGCAATCGGCGAGACATCCTCTCTCGTTCCAGGTGAAGACGAGCTGTTGAGCTTACTTTTATTTCGAGGGAAAGTGTTGGGTGAAGAGATTCGTAGGCCGGTTCTACCAGAAGACGACGGAGGATTCCACTTGACCAGCTGTCGATTGGCTTTACTGGAACATTCATATTGATGCTGTTTCCAAGGTGATATCCCTCGATTCCGGTGGGGAGGTGGTAAGCTTTCGTCCGTCATGTGACGGACATCATCAGAGCGAGGTAACATCGTCACAACCAAATTCAAGTTAACGAATTTTCTTGACTCGTTTGCTTCAATTTGGTTGGTCTGATGATGTTCGTCACATGACGGAGGAAAGCTTACCACCTTCCCACCGGAATCGAAGAAGATTGCCTCGGAAACAGCGTCAGTATGCATCTTCCATTAAAGCCAATCGACAAGCAGTCGTCTTCTGGTGGAACCGACCTTCGAATCTCTTCTTCATGTTCTTCCATACGAAATGCAATTCTCCCCAACAATGCTATCAATGGAGATGGATCGAGGTCTAGTTACTCTTCAGATCTAGAAGATGGATCCCACCAGAAGACTACGGCAGTTGTCTTTGCTGGAGCATTGGTGTTGACGCTGTCCTTGAGGCAGTCTCATTTGATTTGAGGGAAAACACACCACGCTTTCGTTCGTCATATGACGGATATTATAACAGCCGAGTACCATGGTTACTGCCATATCACTGGTAAAGAGCAAAGGTGACAAACTGGCCTAACACGATTTCGTAAGAATCGAAGAAGATTGCCTCGGGGACAGTCAGACAACAATTGTCCGAGTGTACTCCACCGTCGTCTTTGGGTGGGATCCATCGTAGACTCTCTTCATGATACAAATTAATGTGAAATGGAAGTTATCCCAACAAGTATAAGTTAAACGGCTCATCGAAGTCCAAACTTTTTCAACATAAACATGTATTTACCATTAAATTAGATGAGGTTACTTATTTTTGGTATGTTTATAGTTCTTATTCATGTTTTACTAATAGCCTTCAAAATCACTCTCATTGCTTATGCGCGAAGAGACTGCGACTAGCCGTAATCTTGGTAGATTCTTGTAGATTTAAATTCCATCTCAAGTAAAAGTGAGTGATTCATGGGTTAATCTCCCCAAATGGCTGTTCTCTTGTGACGTGATGTCATGCAGACATCTCCCAATTTTACTCAAAAGGGAAATGAGCTAAACACTTTTGAACCAAAAGAGGCCTCAAAATTACAATCTTTCCTCGCATAACCATGCAGTTCCCCATACACTCAAGGCGATTACTTATTTTTGGTGTAAGTATATTTGGAAAATTTCACTCATCTGACCTAAAGCGAAAATTGGCATGAAATAGCGATAGCTTTGCATGTGCAAAATAAGGCCTATCCGTTGAGATTTGGCTTTCATTTTGGGGTAAAAGTTGTCATTCATAAGCCGATCTGACCAAACTACTTGGCACAAAAAGTAGTGTTGTGTGATTTTCACTCGAAATAAAAGTCGAGCCAACATTCTGTACATATATGCATACATATAAAGTCACATTTTCTGTTCATCTCATTTGTTCTACCACTCTCTCTCTCTCTCTCTCTTGTCATGGTTACAGGCGCGGAAGCTACTTGCAGCAGTGTTCGCTGCCTCTCGGCCAACATGACCTGTCGCATGAGCAGAGGTCGGCAGAAGCAACCGCTCTGCCTCGATTGCTCCACTCTTCCAAACAACTGCGAGCCTCTTCTCGGCTCGGGCTTTCACTTTTACTCAGTTCGAATTCCAAACAGCCGGAACCTTTACGGCGCGTCTCCGTCGCTCGTGCCTCGACTAGCCGGCCACGCGTCTGTCCTCAACAGAACCAAAAACGACGGCGACGGCGAGGTCGACGCCAACGCCAACGCCGAGGCCCGCGACTATTGGACCTCGATGACGCTCTCGGGTCTCCAGTTCGGCGCGCCACTCGCGCAAGCCCGGCCCCGGCCTGGCCCCGAATGGCCGCCCGTCTGTACCACCGACGACCTCGTGTTGCCCAACGCCTGCCTGCTTCATGTGCTCAACTGCCTCACCGAGACGTCGTTCCGTGAGCTGCGGCAGCCCGGCTTCTGTTAGGCCACGCGTTCAGCCGCCAGACTGGCCGTGAAGACTGTGAGAGAATGGATGCCTATTTTATGTGAAGTCAAATACAAATAGACCCTTCCAGGCTCTTTACACTCTTGCTCTTCTGCATGTCACGGCATCGGCTGCAACCGACTTGTACTCTGCTCGTACAATGCCGTTCGAGCGTCTCTTCGGTACACTTAAAGTTCCCTTTTCACATTCGGGGCCCGGTATTATGCAATTTGTTCGATTTGAAATAGCACAGATAAGACAGTCATTCGCCATATTTCGTTTAAGCTGATCAAGATCTGCTAGTTC